GTTGATGTGAGTGTCTTAATGATAGCTCGATACTCGATTTTGTCCATTTTCATAAAAACACTCACATCAACTCACTCAAACGACTGTTACATAATAACTGCGCGTCCAAAATGGCTGAAACTTTGGTGAGTAACTGTCAACAGATGAACAACGAAATTCACTAGGTTTTATTTACGAGTGCTGCCATCTTCATGTTGAGGTCGGAAACTTTTCAGACCACCCTCGTAATTGAATCTCTCCAAAAGCACACATACACTTTGGAAAATAGTGGATGCAGTTGGATAAGCTAATCACCCATTTACCCAGTACGTGTATCATAAAATTATATATCTAATGGGAAAGACATAATATCAAGTCAAAGATGTTGTTGGTTTTATCAACAAGATATGGGAAACCAACCACTTGTAGATTCAGAATACATCATTCAGTAGATTTTGATGTAACATGACTGTGTTGCTGAAAAAATCCTCTACACAAGTACCAGTATTATTACCGTGCAGGCAGATCAGTCAACATAGCCCTTCATAACCTAGTTTCTAAAATAGGGAAGTCGATGCACTATAAAAATCTAGCTGTGGCAACTTTTCTGGATATTCAAGGGGCATTTGACAATACACTCTTTGAATGTATTAATTTTTGCTGCAGGGGCAGCATGACGACTTTGTGTCGACGGATAAATATCATGTTGACGAACCGAACGGTGACAGTTACTCTTTCTTGAGAGACAACCCGGTGCAAGGTAAGCCGGGACTGCCCCCTGCGGACGACTTAGTCGTTCTCATAGCCGGGAAACATAATATCATTTCAGAAATAGGCTCTGTAGTGAATAAATAATTGGTGTGAAGGACAAGCACTGTCAGTAAACCCGGACAAGAAATTTGATTGAGCTCTCTGAATTTATATTAGGGGAGAGGGGGGTTAAATATCTAGGACTGATACTAGATAATAAGCTTACCTGGAATGCACATTTGGAAGAAGTGGTAAGTAAGAGGAAGCAGACATTGTGTATCGGTAGAACCTGTGGACTGAAGCCAAGCTGAGATAGAAGTCATGTTAATTCTGCCACGGCTTCATATCGTGGTGGAAGGCGTGGTTAGCAGCATACCGAATACCATTATGAATAATAATGACTGGAGAGGTAGTCCCTATTCCAGGATTATGGAAATATTTATGTCGCAACCAACTCTTGGAATGGTTCCAAGGTGTCCAAGATTTATACGTAGTAGAATGATGCTTCTGGGTAAATTCTTTCTGTAACCCAAGCAGCTGAGAGAAGTGTCGAAAAGGAACCTTTTGGACTTTATTAAAAGGACAAAGCTACTTGCTGAATAGGCTTGAAAAGTGGAAAGCACAATGGGCCTGATAAGGCCGCGGTCTAACCTAACCACAGAAATAAGATCATCACTGTTTAAAAAAGTGTTAAATAAAGACATTTTGGTAAGTCATTGCAGAAGGAATTAGAACTAAAAGTAAGCTTGGTAAAAGTGTGCACCAGATGGAATCTCCACGCCTTTAAGAATCAGTTTTATGAACAAACTGAAGGAGCAGTTCTTAATTCATCTACATCTGCAGTCTTGATTAATGTCTACATTGAAATCTTCGAGAGCAAGACCTAGGATGCTTTTTGTGGCCTCATTTGGATGGCATATTGAAAATATGAAAAATCGTCTGGAAAATATCTGGAAAAAAGTTATCAGAGTGAAACGAGCCGGTGAGAATATACAGGATGTTACAAAAAAAGTAGGTTAAGGCTGTTACCATAGATTCTTACATTAGAATCATACTTTACTTGTACCGTTTTTTATTTAGTTTTTTTAAATAAACTTCCCTGTTTTTGTTTTTTAATTTTGAACATTTTTTATTTAGGACTTGATTTACGATTTGCGAAATATTGTAATTTTTTTGGATACTGATGCCATAGGTTTCTTTTGTTCTAAAATTAGCTTGGGCTTGGCACTCTGAAGAATTTTTGATAGCGAATTCAGTTTATCAAAATTGTAACCTAGAATCGCAGCTTATGAAGTACAGCACAATCAGTTGAAGTACCAATAAAAACAGTAATATATTATCAAGCCCCATTGGATAATAAATGTACCTTACACTATCAACTTGATCTGTTTCACTCTTACAAATAGTATTTCGTCAGAATCGTCCAACAGTACTATGTTTAAAGGTCCGCGAGACATCAAGGAAAATGAACTGGCGTATGCCTTCCTCTTTAAGTTAAGATATTCATGTAAAAAATGTACACACTTCGTTCAATCGTGGATAGCTCTGTTAGTCCACGATGTGGATCATGTTTACAATATTTAAAATCGATTAATTGAACAATCTTCAACAGCGATGTTATGCATCCCGTTTGGGATTTTCTCGCAATTTTCAAAAAAATATTTATGTTTTTCCGAAATCAATCATATTAACTTAAGATTGATATAAATTTAATAATATTTCAACTATCTGCCTCCATACATTTCATCAATAATATTCCGAATTGCAGTTTTGTTAAAATCAATATCTACAATTCATTTTTCCCATTGACGTCTTTTTGCTGGACTTCTAGGTGCTTCACCTCTGTTACACTCAGCTGTAACATGATTTACTGTAGAGACACTCGGATGTAAAGCATATGCAATTCTCTTAAGCAGATAACATGAACGAATGATAAGATTCGCAATTTTATCAGACGTAACCTTTATTTTATTTCAGATGAAAAGAAGAGTGTCAACCAGCACACCCCTTTTTTTACCCCCAACTATACAAGCTTATAACTTATTTAGTTTTAATACTTTTTTCAATTTTTTTTTTGTGTATTTTCAAAATATCAATAAATCTGTTGTATAAAAATGAAAGGTAAAAATATTTTTTGTTTTTTTATCGAGCTCGACAAACTCCCAAAATTTATGCAGCGGTTCCCCAAACTTTTACAACTTGCTGAACCCGGCCAACATCTCGATTTTTTTGACCACACTTAAAAAAATTTTCAAACACATTTCTTACTGATTATACTATATTATACTACGATTAACAAAATAAATATTTCACTAAGTAAAAATTTTTAAAGTTAAAGGAGTTGTTACCCCTTCTACGCCCCTTCTACTTCTATACCCTTCCGGACAAATATTGTTTATTGATAATTTTATATACAAAAGTACATGTTGTGTCACAAATATAAATAAAATATAAAACGGAGACAGTAAGTGAACATGTAAAATTTATTTAAATGTCAATTTATTGATATACTCTTGAACGCTATAAAAACAATTTTTAATTAAGTAATGCTTGGTAAATGTTTTAAAAAGTTTAAAATTCATTGCGTTAAGTTTGTGTTGAGCGAATCTACTTACTAAAATATTATAAAGTTTCAAGTCCAAACTGTGTTTATATGTCAATCCTGGATTTCAGTACAATTAGATCACCAGCATGCCTTGTATTATAATTATGATTATCATAATTGTGTCTAAGCTCCTTTATGTTACGGTGAATGCTGAGTAATAACTCTGTTATATACAAACAGGGTAATGGAAGAATTTTTAGTTTTTTAAATAATGGCTGACAATGAGTACTTGGTGAAGAATTGCTGATAATGCGTATAGCCGATTTTTGCAAGCAGAAGACTCTCTTAAACGACGTTGAATTCCCCCAAAATAAAATCCCGTAAGTCAAGTGGCTATTAATAAGAGAGAAATAAACAGATCTCAGAATACTATAAGGCAAGCAATTTTTAAGTTGTCGTAATATGAATATTTGAGAAGGTAATTTTGAGCACAAAGTATCGATATGAGCTTTCCAATTTAGGTGATCGTTAAGCATTAAACCTAGCAGTTTCACTGGCGTAGAGCTAATAGTTCGTCTATTGGATCTGAACTTCATGTGTTGAGTTTTAGACTCATTTAACATTAGTTCGTTTGCAGAAAACCAATCTTTAGCTTTATCAAATAGGGAAACATTAAAATATAAAATATGTGTCACCACTTCATAAGATCGTAGTATCGTCTGCAAATAATATATAATGACCGTCAAGAGGTCATTAAAATAAACAAGAAAAAGTAGAGGCTCCAAAATAGACCCCTGTGGTACACCATTATTTATAGGAACAATGTTAAAATTTATACCTTCGCAGCAAACAAACTGCCTCCTGTTTGTAAGAGAAGACGCGAACAAATTTAATGCATTGGACCTCACTCCATAGAACTTAAGCTTACGAAGAAGTATGGCAGTAGACACTGAGTCGAAAGCTTTAGATAAGTCACACATGATTGCCTCGGTTGTAAGGCCTTGATTAAAGCCGTCAACAATTGCGCTAATTGTTGACTTCTAGATACGATGACAAGTTATCTTTTATAATAATCTCTAGCACTTTGGACAAGTAGGGAACAATAGCGATCGGTCATAGATCTGCGTCATGAAAACTTTTAGCTTAGAAGCTCTTGAGAATGCAATGGAGACATCGCAGAATAGCTCTCAACTGCTTTGCCCGTACCTGTCTAAGGGGTGGAAACCACCCCCAAATTCACAAGAAGTGAATACCCAGATAGGTTGTGGGGATCGCCAGGGTTCCGTCGGAACACAGTTTGAATACCGATGTCTTTAAGTAACTGATATTACAGTATTCAAACCAAAGTCTATAATATGTAAACAAGCGTGTTATTGTTTAGATTACTACTATAATATATGTTATTAATGCTCGGCAGTGATTTCGCATTATTTTTGTTACCTCACACTTTTATAAAATGAAAATTTAAATTAGAATGGAAACAGCCCTATTAATCGGACACACCAAAGCTAGCAGAGTTAACTAGATCGTTCTCTCCATTTGAATTCTAGAATTTAACATTCGGAAGTCGTTCCGTAACCTCGGTGGAATGATCAAAACCTCGCACCGCGCATGTGGTGCGTTAGCCACTTCAAACCCGTTTGTTTTCAACGTTTCAGTCGATGCCTCACCGTCGCGACGCCCCGTAGATATTGACCTCGACGCTCCAGACGCCGTGCGTTGGTTTGTCATAGTTGCAGATACAAAGCCAAAGTCGCTGTACCTTTAATATCTCTGTCTCTTTCTCCTTGCCGTCGGACCAGCGGAAAAAGCTTTCTGCATTGTGATTTTACAAAGGTTCAAGTTCATTGACGACCGGTGCTGGATTTAATTTGTGGTAATGCAACATGACAGAAAAGTGGATGAAGCGAAAAAGTTTTAATTGAGGTAAAAAATGACGCCAAAGTATTTTCATTTTGAAGTAACGGAAGTTTTCTCTCATAATAAAAATTAAATTAAGTTCTGTATGTAAAAGATGACGTTTTTAATGTTGATTCAGTTGTTAAATACTTTTAAATCTCAATTAGTTGTAGAAAACTAAACTATAATTAATTTCTTAGTACCATTAATAAAACCTGATGATTAAAAAACAAAGTAAGTATATAATTTACATTCATTAGATATTACTAAATTTTCTATTCAAGATATTAAACAGTGTGTCCCCGGATGGGGTACCACAGTTTTGTAAACTTTTTATTGTTGATTTTTCCAGAAAAAGTTATTCGTGATAAAAAGTTTTGCTTATCTTGGGAAGCCATGGGAAGTAATCAAATATGTAATAAAACATACAGGGCGTCCAAAATACTTAAATACGGGGTATAGTAAGAAAAGCTCAATAATCACATTTTGCAAATAAAAAGACGAACCAATTTTTCACTGTTTTACATACCATTTGATTACCATGGACATTTTCTTATCAACATCAAAGTAAACATATTTATTTTTATTAACTGCCCACCGAATAACTTTTATTAATAATGCTAATCCTGAAGCAAAGAATTTATCTTGTGAAATGTTATGAAATCGATAATGTTCCATTCGATATAATAATAATAATAATTTATTGCAAAAAAAGAAGTATAAACATCGATTTTTACAAAAGAAAAATGTATAAAAAAAGTTGATTTACAACACCTCCTGTGGCAAAGAGAGCAGATTAAAAACAATGAATGAACACAAGACGCAATTAAATACACTTAAAACCTACATTCATCAAAAAGTACCAAATCAGAAAAAGTATATTAATTTTTAACATATGTTTAACAGTTGTCACTGATAAATTTTGATACTGGAGAGGCAAATTATTAATAACATAGGAAGTTAAATACGAAAATGAATTTTTAAATTTTTCTGTTTTATGGGAAGGAATACACTCTTTGCTACTCAGTGATCTCAAATTTTTAGTATGTTTCATTATACAGGGTAGTCCGAATTTTATGCAGGAAACTTCGAGGGCAGATAGATCTCTTTAAAATAGTTTTTGCCTTATAAACATAGGTCTGGAATGGCCTAGTTTTAGAGATACAGGGTGTTGAGGTTGTTAAAAAATATATATTTTTTATTTATATCTCCGGAATCCATAGACCGATTTCAATAAAATTTAGTACAGATTATGTATGACAGTAGATCTTGTATTCCCTAAAATATGAGCTTCAAAGGTTCAACCAGTGGTGTACAACTGGACAGGCTCACCCCCCTTTTTTATAAAAAAACCTACGCTACTGTATTTTTTACAAGCTATTGTAACGGTTTTATATATTTATGTTTATGCTTAAAAGTAAGTGCAATTTGTAAGCACATCAACAAAATTCTTTACACTTATCGCTTTCATCTTTTTGGATTAAAGAAATGATATTTTAAAAGCATTTGACGACGAGGTGAGTAAATCGAAAATTTGAAAAGTTCTATGTAAGGATGGCAGAAATCCGTACCATTTACAACCTGTGCAAAATTTACTTCCAGGAGATGTAGAGAGACGCCTGAATTTTTATCAGTGGTTGTTTGAATTATTACTAGAAATACTTTGGACCGATGAGGCTACGTTCACAAGGCGAGGGGTAGTGGATTTTCACAATCTGGATATTTGGTCACAAGAAAATCCTCATGAAATTCGGAGTCATTTCTAAACTTTCTAGAAAACCATCTATTTGAATTATTAGAGGATGTACCCTTAAATATACGACAAAATAGCTGGATACAATGGATGGTGCTCCTGCTCGTTCTGGGTGAATAATACAAGAATAGCTTAATGAAAATTATATGGGGTGATGGATAGGTAGAAGACCAAATGCCAATGTCAACCATAATGGTGCAGAGAGTCCAGTGTCTTGGCCAGCCAGATCGCCAGATCTAAACCCCTGGACTTCTATGTTTGGGGTGACCTATCTGAAAAATTTACTCTACTCCAATAGACCACAACTACTGCAGCGAATAGAAGACGGGTGTAATAAATTAACAGAAAACCACCACATGATATTAGCTTCAATTAGTTCCATTAATAGATGATGTTAGAAATGTATCGATGTGGGTGGTTCGCATTTTAAACAATTGCTGTAAATACGTAACGTTAATTTTGTTTCTTGTTTAGTTGTTATTGCTTGGTAAATGTATTTTTATTATTATTTTTATTTAAATTGTTCTTATTTGTAAAGATAATGTCTCCAGGCAAAACTAAAACACACCAGGAAAATTACCTCATAGGTGATGTGGAAAGAATTTTGTTGATGTGCTTACAAATTGCACTTACTTTTAAGCATAAACATAAATATTTTTGTAATATTATGGTTTGAAGTGTCTGTCACAAGGGGATTGTATTGGTATGAATAACTTGAAAATGGTGAACCTTAGAGAAAAAATTTAAGTCACGTTTTTTACGTATTTATTGCATTAGAATATAAATCCGTTACAATAACTTGTAAAAAATATAGTGCCCTAGGTTTTTTTTTTACAAAAAGAGGGTAATCCCTCTCCAGCTGTGCACCACTGGTTAAACCTTTAGAGCTCATATTTTAGGGAATGCAAGGCCTACTATCATACATTATTTGTACCAAATTTTATTGAGATCGGTTAATAGATTCCTGAGAGATAAACAAAAAAACTTTTTTTTTAACAACTTCAACACCCTGTATCTCAAAAACGAGGCCATTCCAGACCTATGTTTATAAGGCAAACTACTATTATTTTAAAGAGACCTATCTGTCCTCGAAGTTTCCTGCATAAAATTCGGACCACCCTGTATTTTAACACATAAAAATGTAGGTTTGTTATCTTTAAAATGTTGAGTATAAAACTGGCAAAATAAGTCTCCTCTCAGACATGCTCAACAAATTGAAGGAACGTAAATATGTAGTTATGTGACTAAACTGGGGGGCATTCGCAATAAAACGGACGCAACAAAAATTTTGTATCCATACACAACATCCGCATAATTCAAATGAGATAAAACTAAAGATTCGGTAAGGAAAATTTTGGTCTGAGGATTTAGATACGTTTTAAAGCATTGCAACTGTTTTAATTATAGAAAAGCTTTCTTATAGATAACTGTTACATGATTCGAAAAAGTCAACGATGATTCAAAACGGGAAAGTTATCCAGACCTCGCAATTGAGTTGATGTTCCAAATAGAATGTTTTGATTTTTATTAGGATTAACTAATAAAGTATTTTTATGGTCCAGTCATGAATTAATTGTAAGTCATTATTAATAACTGTTGTGGCAATATTTAAATTAGAAGATTTACAACTATAAAGGAGTTGTAGATCGTCAGCGTACATATTTAGTTTACAATTCAAAGGAATTCTCGACAAATCTGCTGTAAACATGTTAAACAAAAGTGGTTTTAATATAAATCCCTGAGGAACACCAGAACCAACTGATTTATAAGGTGATATTAGTATCGAGGAATCTGTATTTAATCTAGTATATTGTTCTCTACCGTGTAAGTAATTACAATACCAGCACAATATATTGCTAGAAGTACCATAATAATGAAGTTTAGCAATAAGGCAATTGATGTCAATTGAGTCAAATGTCAGTCATATCTACAGTGACTCTATACAAGACAGTGGCGACAATAGAGATTAAACCCCGCCCACCCGCCATGTTGCATCCAATGTCAAATTAAAAGTAACTTTTATAAAAAATAAATCAAGAGTATTTTTCTTATAAATTTTCCGCACAGATTTTAAGCAAATAGGAAAGTGAATGGAAAGTGATTTTAAATAATGAATTAATGTAGAATCTACTTGTGCAATAGGGGAGGATAAATATATAATAGTAGCAACTATTGGTTTTTATTTTCTAGGCAAGTAAAATTAAGCTTACCTACATTACACAATGAAATTTATTGAGTTTATATTACAAAAATAAATAATTAATACTAATGATAGTATTCGTTACAATAAATGTCCAACAACACTTTTACTTGCAAGCTTTTTTATGCTTTTTGGCATTTTTTGGAAGCTATGTTTAATCGGAAGATAATAAATCTTTTAACAATAATATATTTGATCTGATGACAATTTGGTAGATCTAAATTTAAACCAGACATTTCTTTAAAAAAAAACTTTTAAATTTATGTTTTGTCAAGATACAATCGCAAAAAATGTTGTAAAACACTTTTCATCTGCAAGAAGAAACAAAATACCACTTCATTACAAAAAAGAGTGCATGTTCTCTAAATATCTTAAGTACGCTAAACTTTGAATATGTTTTATAAATTGGCGTTTTAGAACTAAGAGCGTGTACACAGTTTGTACAAGTTTTTGATGTTTTAACAATACTTTGAACAATATATCCGCACACGTTATAATGAGAATTTAATTCACTAAAACTAAGATTAAATTTTGGTCCTTCTATGTTAGCAGGAACCTTAACTTCCTAAGTAGGTGTTATATTTTTTGTTATAGTGTCCAAAAGACCTGAAAGAAATTCACGGTCGTCGTCCTTATAGGAGCTTCTGCAAGCATTATAACTATCCCTTAGCACAGAATACCCAGTATAGCATCACTAATAATCGCCAAAATTAAAATAAAACAATACGAATATTGAATAACACCATAAGAACGCTCCTGACACATGATACATCACAGATGAATTTGACACTGGATGCAACATGGCAGCTAAAATCACGTGGACCAATTAAAAATGATACACTCTATTGTCGCCACTGTCTTGTATAGAGTCACTGTACTCATATCCAGTAAAGTTAGAGACGAAATCAGAGAATTGTCGGTAGCTGTCAAAATGTCATTAGTTACATTAGCCAATAAAGTTGAAGAACTAATCCCCTACTGAAAACCTGATTGGTTTATAGGAATTATTGAATTTTCAACACAATAATCAAACAATTGATCAAAAATAGCAGATTCGGCAATACAAATTTTTAA